GTGAGGGTATCATCTGAAAAACATGGCCAAGATTCATAGCCCTGGAACTCTTCATTTATTTAATTTAATTTATTTTTTATTGGTTATGAATATTCATGATACCAAGTTGATTGTCACCCCTCGTGCCCATGATGTGAGGGCGAGATTCATATTGGCAGCATACCCATTACCACAAATTGCATTTGTACCCTGTGTCCACCACCCAATTAATCCCAACCTCCCTCTCCCTCCCCCTTCCCCCTACTCCACTTTGTAGCCCAAGGAGTGTTCTCTCCCTCTGTAAGTCCAACACACCACTGTGGTCTTTCTTTCTTTCCTTCTTTCTCTCTTAGCTCCCACATATGAGTACATGCAGTATTTATCCCTCTGGGCTTTGCTTGTTTCACTCAACATAAGTTTCTCCAAGCTCATCCATGTTGTTGCAAATGGGAGTATTTCATTCCTTTTTATGGCAGAGTAGTATTCCCTAGTATATATATACTACAGTTTCCTTATCCAATCATCCACTGATGGACACGTGGGTTGGTTCCGTGTCTTGCCTATTGTAAACAGGAGCTCCTCATTTAATTATCAAATATCTCCTCTGTGTAATGGCCCAGACTGGCTCAGTTCCAGCATCCCTTGGTCTGAGATTGTGGGGCAGTATAGTAGGCTGGAGGTTTCAAATAAGCTGGGCAGCAAAACCTGGGGCTGGCAGGAGGTGCCCAGCCTAGGGAGATGAAGACAGTCGTTATCTGTGAGCACAACACTCAGGCCTCCTCTGCCCTGAGAGGGATAGGAGTGACACACGTGGGGCAGGTAGGCCTAGACTCAGGGGCCCTCCTGGCTTGTAAGCGTCAGAGACCCAGGGATGCCTGGAGGCTGGGCTGCTGTGGTTTTGCATCCTTTTCATTGACCAGCTTTCCAGAAACCACACCAAATATCGTCAGGAAACACATACATAGAATTTCAGCATTTTCAAGAGGCTGAAGATGTGTGTTACAGTCCTCGCCCATCCTCCCACCTTCTAAAAGTGTGACCATGAGCCTCTCTGAGTCTTACCACCTCAGCCAAAGAACAGAGGTGGCCTGTCTGCCTTTCCTGTATCAAAGGGCTATTGTGAGCCTCAAATAAGTTGACGCGTGGGAGAGCTTTCTACAGTGCTATGCGATGTGAAGTGGTTCTTAAAAATTATTTATTCCACGAAGCAGTACAGGGACACACCCCTCCCCCACTTCAATGCAGCCCCAGCCATCCTTTCAATCAGAACCTGCCTGCAGGTGAGGGATATTTCAGTTTTTTGAGCCATTGGGAGATGGAAGGTTTAATACCTTAGTCCACTTCCCTTCACCTCCAGTCCCATCTACCACACAGGGCAGGAGAGTGGTGGCCTGGCAGAAGGTGCTGGGGCCCCTTATTTAGTTCTCTGGTAGAACTGGAAAACTGCTTTCTCCTGCTCGTAGGTCTCAATGGAGCCGGGTCGAAGGCGCCGGATCTCAGCAATGGCATCTCCTGCAGCCAAGCCCCGCTCCTTCACCAGGTAACAGGCCAGCATGGTGCCAGTGCGGCCAAAGCCCAGGGCACAATGCACTCCGACGGCCTGTGAAGAGCAAGCTTGATGGGGTGGAGCCCGGTGCCCCCTCTAAGACTCTCCTGCCCCTCACTTGGGCCCATCTCCTTCTCCACACAGCTACTGCTTCTGGGTCAGGCCCAGGCCTCTGTCCACAAGTCTCAGGCCCTCAGAGGTCAAGAAGTGACATCAAAGTCAGGGAGGGCTGTCCTTGCACCTGAGTGGCAGGAGGCCTCTAAAGTGGCTGGTTCAAGGGGTGGGTCTCTATCTGCGCTGTCCAGTACAGAAACCGCCAGCCACGTGTGGCTACTGTGTACTTGAAATGTGGTCAGTGCAAACTGAGATGTGGTGTAAGGTACACACCAGGGTTTGAAGAAGCAGTACGAAAAAGAATGAGAATATCTCATCAGGAATTTACTTTATATTCATTATATGTAGAAAATATAATACTTTTGACTTATTGGCTTAATATTATCAAAATTAATTTCACCTGCTTCTTTTTAAAAAATGTGTTTGCCAGAAAATTAAAAATTACATATGTGGCCCCATTATATTGGGACAGTATTGCTCTAGAAAATGGTAAACAGCCTTCGTATGACTTCAACCCTGCCTCTCCCAAGTGGGTCCAACCCCTTTCTCCTTCTCAACTCGCAATACTAGACGGTTCTTCGTCGCTTCTCCTCAAGCCCAATTCACACCGCCTCGCCCTTTTTTACTCCTCCCATTTAGCGTTCCCCGCGTTGGCTTTAGGTCCCTGTGGCACCGTTGTCTCCTGTCCCTACAGTCTTCCCCCCGGCTCTCTCCGGTAGCCCTGCTAAGTCACTCCGGGCCCTGGTGTGCCCGGCTCCGCCCCCTGGTGTGCCCGGCTCCGCCCCTGGCCCCCGCTGACCTCTCCCCGGGCGTTGGCCTCGTCCACGATCTGCACGAAGCGGTCGATCTGGTCGGGGGCCGGCGGGCAGAAGTCTGGGATGCGCAGTCGGTGCAGAGTGAGGCCGGGGCAGCTGTCGCTGTGTGGGGGCCCGCGCTCCGTCAGGGACACCAGGTGCCGCACGCCCAGGTCCGACAGGAACTGGTAGTGGGCGGGGAGCCGCGGCAGCGCCAGCCCCGCCAGCCGGCCCGGGAGCACCCAGGAGAAGTTGGGGGGTTGCACGCCCATCGCTCGGAGGGGGACGGGTCAGCGGGTCACCAGGACCGAGGCCGGCCCTTCCGGATCCGCCCACTCGTCCCCTAGCCAGCCCCGTCCCCGTAACCCGCCACCCACCTGGCACTTGGGCCTCCTGGGCCCAGTGTCCCGCCTTCCCCCGTCCCCGACGTCGTTCCGCTCCGCCGCGGGGATTGGCCGAGCCGCCTGGGGGCGGGGCTGGAACGCGACCTAGGGAAGCACCTCGAGCCGGGCCCGGCCCGAGCAGGACGCTCGTCGATTGGCTGGGTGACCAATAATGGGCGGGATTACTGCCCCGCTGCGCAACCCGAGGAGCCAACAAGGAAAACATTGAAGGCATAAGGATCGTTATCTGTGGATGAGGTAGCCCGGGGTCGGGCTCTGCTGCTCCCTGGCGGCGTGTTGCAGTTATTACAGCACTGGCCGGCTGCCCCTACCTCCCCAAAGGCCTGGCCTTGGTTTACTTTCTTCACAGCGGATGCCCAGGGGTTTAAGAGATGACAAATCTGCTTCCGCCCTGGAGAAGGAACCTCCCCTCCAATGAGTGGCCAGTCATTATCAGTGACTTTCGAACTCTTCCAGTAATAGGGAATCATTACTGCAAAGGCGGCTGGCTATTTGCATTTTTCCGTAGCCGAAACTATTAAAAAATAGTGGGCTGTCATCTTGGCTCCCTAAAACCTAACCCAGGGTAAAGTTATAGTCATAATAATAGCAACCAGCAACATAGGAATGAGGTTTTATTGAGCGTTTACTATGTGCCAGATACTCTTCTAAATATATGTATTAACTCATTTAATCGCAACAATAATGTTACGAGGTAGGTGCTCTAATTAACCTCATTCTATAGATGAGAAAACAGGCACTGGAGAGGTTAAGGAACTTGACCAACAGATGACTGATGGCTCCAGAATCTTTAACAACACAGTACTGTTGCCTAAAGTTAAACAGAAAATTACTTCTTTTTCACATAACTACCCTCATGCCCCCAAGTATCATTTGGGTTAAACACTTGTTGGTGTTCTTAATTTTATTCATATTTCATATTTCCTTATATTTCAAGGTTTCCAGGCTCTCTGGGTCACCCTTCCCTGGGCAGGCTAGAGTTCATCAGTGTATGTTCTTGTAGATCTGAACAGAGTGTCTCAGTTGTGATCTGGCCAGTCTATATCCTCATTTGAATAATGTGCTTCTGGTGATGAAGACTAACTGTAATTATGAAAATAGTTAACCCTTATCGAATTTGCTTATGTACCAGGCCCTGTGCCAAGTGCTTTCTGGAAGAACCACACATGGAAGGCATTTTTGTATCCTTTTTGTGCATGAGTAATCTGAGGCTTAGGAGAAGTTGGTTAACTTGGCCAAGGACACGCTGATCCTGTACCTTCCTCCCTCTGCCCCACCTACCCCTAACACACACATATTTGACCATTTAAACGTGTAGCTCCAGCAAAATGAAAAGGAATGTCTCTTCCCCCAAAGTTCACAGCCTGCTCTGACCCTGTGGAAATGCACTTACTATTTACCCAGACTACTAGTCTCCCCAGGTTCTGGGAGCTGCCAAATCTCCCCTTTTTTCCCCTTCCATACAATCACCGTTCTGAGTAAGCCCTTCCTGTTTGCTCTCCTATTTCCCACAATAACTCCCTATCAATTTTTCTAATCCAACCCAATTCATTCCTTGCCCTCCTTCCCTGCTGAGGTCTCTTGGCCTCCGGTCACCCTTCCCTCTCACTCCAAATTACCCCCAGATTTCTGGTTGCAGTGCCTCAGGAGACAGGACTTTATCCAGCACTTACTCCTTGCAAGTTAGTCTTTTCTTAGTCCCTTTGCCTCACTCTCTTTTCTTTACCCCCTCCACTCATCATGGAAAAACTTTCCACATCTCTCCACACCCTCCTATGCCCCTTCCTTGCCTCCTTTGGGGGGAAGACAGTGATTCTTTTCTTCCCTGGACCCCCTAGCAGTGATTTTCCCCCTTGTGTGGGTCTCTCCAGGGCTAGAGGAACATCCATCAACCCAAAGTGGGCCAATTGGCTCACTTTTCAGGAATTCCTGTCCCTTTGCTGCTTTGCCCCTCCCATCCAACAGACTCAAGTGGGAAGGGCCCAAGGTCCCTGCCTTGAGCTGTGTCTCATTGGGAAGAGCACCATTTAATTTTCTGTCTTGAGCCCTGGGGCCTCAAATTGTAAGGAAAAACCCTCTCTGGTGGTTTTCTGGCTGGGACTCTTGCAACTAACAATGTCAGCACCCTGCCCCCTCTCTCTGTCCACATACATAGCACTGACCTTCTCTCTCCTCCTCCCTGCAGGGTTACCTGACCGTCAGGAAGATTTAGGCTCTTTCTGTACTCCCATCTCACCTTATATAAATATATCCTCCCAGTAGGGCAATTATTTCATTGGATCCGGGTTACCTGTTTGCATAGGAGCTAAGACTGTATTGTCCCATCTTTGATTTCCACCTGTCTAATATTCCACCTGTTTGATACATGGTGCTCACAAATGATAGATAAACAAATTTGAATGGAAAATAAATTAGTAGAATGCATTGGCAAGACTGTGAATGTACATTTCTGGGAGTGAATGTGCGTCCCTAGGACTGCGTGACAGTGTGTATTTGTGGTTCCTTTTAATTGCATGAGTTTGACGACTGTGTTGAGTATTGTGTAGCACGTCCTTGACGTATGCTTTTTATGTGACTGTGGTTTTAGGGAATGAATGACTATGTCAGTATGATCCTGGCTAAGTCCAATTACTATTTTTGTAAAAAAGGGATAAATAAGCCTTGTTACTTATAGAACTCTGCTCCTATGGTGTGCATGTGTATGACAGTGTGTGTGAGTGCATGTGTGTGAGCGTGTTGGGGACCGTATTCCTGGAGAACAATCTGTTGACACTGATGGTGGGCTGAGTAATTAGCTTGAGTAATTTCCCTGACTTCAAGGAATTTACAGCATACTTGGGGGGATTTAAACTCAGATGTAATTATTCTCAGTACATATAATAAAGTACTAAATTTCTCATCAAAGACAATCAGATAATATATATTAAAAAGCTAATTGTGCAGAAAAAGAAACAAGTGCAAAAGAAGTCAGTGGGAGAAAGATAGGCTTGGGTTGGAACCACCAGAAAAGTCTTATGAAGACAGGATCTTCCTTCCCATTTTGTTTAATGTCCATTTAAAAGCTCAAAAGAACCATTTTAGGGCATCCTAGCTGCCCTTTCCCCAGGTGATATGAATGTTTTGACCTAGTTCTTGTTCATGGTGAGGACCTAGTTCCCTGATTAGTTTTGATGCTAGTGGCAGTTAGAGGTGAAGTTGGAGTCAGAGAATTCATTCCTCCAGGTAGGAGGATTGCCACCAAGGCAAAGGATTGCTTGGGCTTGGGTTTGGGTTCCTATGGCTCTTGGACTGCAGTCAGAATTCTCAGTGCCCTAAATATTCTGATTTTCCTATGTCTAAATACTTTTCATACCTGGGACCCAATGATCTGAACACTGGACCTAAGAAGAAGGGATGATGTGGTAGGCAGCCTCCATGATGGTCCCCAGTGAACCATCCCATGCCTTTCCTGCATCGATAGGGCAAGTTTTTCTAACCGGTAGGATATTGTGAAATAAGGGTGTGTGACTTCCTTGGCTGAATTGTAAAAGACTTGATTTTTGCCTTGTTCTCTCTAGGGAAGAAGCCAGCTGCCACGCTGTAAGGACACTCAGGCAGCCATATAGAGAGACCCATGCAGTGAGGAACTGAGGCCTCTAACCAACAGTCATGGAAGTGAGCTAGTCATTTTGCAAGTGGATCCTCTTGCCTCATCAAGACTTTAGATGACTTCTCCAATCTTTTGACTATAACCTCATGGATTCCCTGAGCCAGACCACCCAGCTAAACCTAGCCTGAATTCCTTACCCACAGAAACTGTGAGATAATAAATACTTATTGTTTTAAGCCTCCGAATTTGGAGTAATTTTTTATGCAGCAATAGGTAACTAATACAAATGGAAATATTCAGTTTGAAGTAAAGAGAAATAACTTCCATTAAATTCAAGAAGTGAAATAAAATCAACACAAGATTAATTAAAAAAGAAAATCATATTATAAGCAATTGTGGTCTAAGTGTGTATGTGTTTGTGTTGGATGTTGTGACAGGTCAATGAAAATTTTCCACATTTGGAGAACCATGCTGTGCAGGGAAACCAACCAGAGTAGTTTGGAATTTATGTGGTATTTGTATGGTTAGAGATGATACACAAATTATTTAACAACTGATCATGGCACAGGAAACAAACAATTAGAATGGAGCCTCTACCAATCAGAATCATTACTTGTAAACAAACAGTAAGCTACCCTAGTGTCTGTTGGATGTGTGTTGGCGTGGAGGCTCTAAATTATCTAGGGTGTGGCCAGATCACCTTGGACATTTTAATATAGGTCTTTCCACAAGATGGCACTGATAGCTTTCCCTTGTTTCTCTCTTTTTTTTTTTCTGTCTTGTTGAAAAATTTGTGATTTATATGCTGTTACAGAACACACCATAACTGAAATCTCACAATTTCCTACTTGATTTCTTGTACTTTCGACAGTTCTGTTGCCTTTATGGCGCTTAAAATCACATTTCTCCTTTAGACCAGTCCAGGAGCACAGTGAAATTTTAAGCTGTGATATTGGGGGATGCTGCCTTACACCAGATGCTATCATCATAGAAGCTGGAGATGCAGAAGGAGTTGGGGCCAAGCTTTGATTTCTGAAAAGCCATTCAACAAATACAGGTGAGAGTGGAATCAGAGAAGAGGGAGCACTCAGTTAGGTAAGAGCCACTCTTGCAGTGAAAACCAGTTAGGTGCACTCTCTCACTTCCACCGTCCAGGCTGCCCTGAGCCTCAGAGGAGTCAAAGCCCAGCTGGCACTTTGATTTCAGCCTAGTGAGACCCTGAGCAGAGGACCCAACTGACCTGTAACTGAACTTCTAACCTATAGAACTGTGACATAATAAATGGGTATTTCTTTAGCCACTAAGTTTGTGGCAATTTGTTATGCAGTAATTAAAAACTAATACAGATGCCC